ACAGAGTTTTACTTTAGTGCCCTTGGTAGAGTGCTGTGGCATCACAGCTCACAGCAACCTCCAACTCCTGGGCTTAGGTGATTCTCTTGCCTCAGTCTCCCAAGTAGTTGGGACTACAGGCGCCTACCACAACTCCCGGCTATTTTTTTGTTGCAGTTTGGCCGGCGCTGGGTTTGAACCCGTCACCCTCGGTATATGGGGCTAGCACCGTACTCACTGAGTCACAGGCACCACCCTTTCTATTTAAAAAAAAAAAAAATTTAAATTTTTATTTAGTCTCAAGCTGTTGTAGTGTTGTGGAATCATAGCTCATAGCAACTGCCAGCTCTTAGGCTGAAGTGGTCCTCTTTCCTCAGTTTTTCTATTTTTAATAGAGATGGGGTTGCACTCTTGCTCAGGCTGGTCTTGAACTCCTGAGCTCAAGGAATCCACCTGCCTCACCATCCCAGAGTGCTAAGGTTACAGGGGTGAGCCACTGCACATGGCCTTAACATGTTAATGATAAAGGAGCTAGATAGGATCCTGCTCCTCAAACAGCAAGCTTCAAAGCTTTTGCATTTGCTGTGCCCTATACCAGGATCACCCTTCCTCCAGCTATCTGTAAGGTGTTCTCCCTCACTTGTTCAGGTCCCTAATCAAATGTCACATCCCCAGATGCTTTCATTGAGCAGTTAACTTTAGTGGATAAAAACAGGATCTCAGGAGCCAAATCTCTTGTTCTGGAGTCCTGATTCAGCCACATCCTAGCTAGCTGTGTAGTCTTGGATAAGCAGCCTAACTTCTTTGTGTCTCAGTCTCCTCTGTAAAAGAGGAACAGTAGATGCATGTCATCTCAGCTGTATTACATGTTAACACATGAAGTGCTGGCACATGACTGTGTTTTTTCCCTCCCTCCCAGCTGAGTTACATGCCCTTACTGGTTTTCCTTATTGACTGAGGCAGGACCTGGGTGCCCCACACTCCCCACTCCTGGCCCCCTCTCACAGGCTGAGGTTGCAGTTAACGCTGGTCTGCAGCAGGTAGGCTTTTGCGTTCTGTACGGCCAGCTCTCGAGGCTCTGGTTCCGGCACCTCCATACTGTAGGGCAGGAAGCCCAGCTCAGAGGGTGTGAAATGGAGGGCAGGGTCATCCCTTACGTAAGGCCCATGCTGGGCGCTTTCATATAAGTGCTGGTCATCTCTGCCGTAGAAGTGGCTCAGAAGGTCGCCCTGGTGGTCCTGGTAGGTAGACTCCAGTTGCTGGATGAGGTTGGCTTGGCCCTGCTGTAGCTGTTGCATTATCAGGCTGGCAGACTGGCCAGGCGCCTGTATCCTGTTTTCTACCATGTAAGGCTGGCGCTGGAACTCGGGGGTAAAGCCTACATTCACGGGTGGGTACTGCATACCACTCACCCAGGCTTCCTCAGCCTGGAACAGCGGTATGTTCTCCTGCTGGGATACACCACCCCACTGGTTCCAGCCCTGGGGGCCGGCCTGGTCCACATCGAACTCCTCCTCAGAGCCTGCTGCCTGGGGCTGAATTTGCACTGAGCTGCGCCGCCGCTGCTCAGAGACCAGGGAACTCCTTTGGTTGAAGGGCTGCTGGGAAGGGGGTTCCCCAGGGGGCGGTGGGTCCCCCATGATTTGAAGGAAGGCGCAGACCTCTAGGAGGAAGGCTTGCAGACAGGCACACGCCCGGCAGTCGCAGCGCTGGCGCAGCCAGTTTCTAAGGATGCAGAGGGACGGACCGTTACAGCAGATCGCGGATACACCACCGCCAGGGAGCAAGGCCCCGCGCAGGCGCACCCCGCACCTGGGGCTCCCCGCAGATCCCGCGCGGCCAACAGCAGACAAGGCGGCAGAGATGACACGGCACTCATGCTCCAGACTCTCCATCTCTTTAATTTTATTTTTTAAGGCAAAGCACCCGCTGGTCAAGCCCCACAGCGTCTCCCAACTCAGCTCCCACCCCACTCCCCTTCCCCACACAGCCCCGTCAGCTGTTCCCCTTGCTCTCGGCTTCCCCAGCTTCCTCAGAGGTCGGACTGGGGGTCTTCACAGTGTCTTCTCCAGCAGGGGCGAGGGTTTGAGGGCTCCGCTCGTCTTTTGATGTCAACCCCCCAGCTGCTGTCTCCTGTGATCCAGGAAAGTGGGGGTGGATAAGAGGGCGTCCCCCCAGCTTTCCAGCAGGCCCCACCCCAACTCGTCCCCACCCAGGCTGGATGCCTCTCCTTAGAATGCTTTGGTCGCCGTCCCTACCTTAGGTAGGGGCCCCTCCAGACTCGAATCCAGGAGGGCGACCTCAGTCAGCCCCGAGTCATCATCCATACTGATGAAGATAGCTGGGGTCTCACACTCAGGCCCCTCCTCCCGGAAATCCATCGCTTCTTCCGACGGGGGAGGGCCCAGCCGGGCTGAGGATGAGGAGGGAGACAAGGAGGAGGTCTGGGCTCCCACTCCTCCGGGCTTCAGCTTCTGTTCTTCCTCTAGCTGGCGCTTTAAGGCCTTCTCCTGGGCCAGCCGCAGACCGATGAGGTCCTGAGGCGGACGGGGTGCTGGGGCCGGCGCCAGGGCCAGGGGCTCCAGGTCGTCCTGGGGGTGGGGAGGGCACGCAGCAGCTCAGGGACAGGTGCTTCCAGGGGATGGTGGGAGAGAAGGGGCAGAGACCACCCTGAGGCAGAAAGCTGGGGGCAACATAAGGGACAGCAAACTCTTAGTTGTGGCACAGGGAGGAGGGGTAGCTATTCCCTTTTAGCAGGAGCATCCTCTCAGAGACAGGTGGTGGGGTAGCCCCAGCCTCTTCAGGGGAGGAGGAAGTAGTGAGGCCTTGCTGGCTTGGGGCGCAAGGGTGGGGCCTGGGGAATCCAGATGGGTGGTCTGTAAGGGCCCTCACCTCTTCCAGGGGCCCTGCAGGTGCCTCCTTGGCCTCAGGCTCCTGTTTGCCGCTGGCCTCCAAGATGGTCATGATGGAGTTGGGGATGTGTGCTTGCTGGGTGAAAAGCAGCAAGAGGGCGCTGGGACAGGTCTGGCCTGGAGACTTCTCTTGGACTCCCAAGATGCCCCATCCCTGACTCTCCAGAGCTCCTGTCTTTATGTGACAGTGTAGGGTTCCCCCGTGCCTGCCCCCTTTCAAGTCTGTAGGGGCTACCCTCCCTACATCCCAGGGTACCTGGTGGGGGGTGAAGGAGCGGACGTGGGCCAGCAGGGGCTCCCGGAGCTCAGGGCACTTGTCAAAGACGGCTCCCAGCTGCTGGGGTGGCAGCTGCAGGATGACCTGGAAGCTCTGGGGCTTGGTGCGTTGGCAGCACTTGATGAAGCCCTCCCACACCTTAGGATACTTCCACACCTGGACCAGCAGGGAGGAAGTTGTTGGGAGGGGCACACAGGCAGCCACTCCAATCTCAGCCCCTTAGAGAAAGACCTCACCAGGATGTGCCCCAATCCCACCATCCAACAGATTCCTCTTGGCTACATACAGCTCTGACCTCCCTCCAGAAGAATCTGTCTTCCAGAGCCAGGGAGCTGGAACAGGGAGGCAGTTTGGGAAACAGGTAGAAGATAACAGAAAGCCACCCTCCTGGAGCCAGCCCAGGCTAAATGCTGTGGGAACACATTCTGTTCTCCTGACAGCCTTGAGAGGGCGACATTCCCTCTGCGAGGATCAGGGAAGTGCAAGGACCTGTCCAGGTATACATTTAAACCCAGCTATAGCTCAACTGGCTAAGGTGCCAGCCACGTACACCTAAGGTGGCGGGTTCGAATCCCCAGCCCGGACCCGCCAAACAACAATGACGGCTGCAACCAAAAAATAGCCGGGCGTTGTGGCGGCGCCTGTGGTCCCAGCTACTTGGGAGGCTGAGGCAGAAGACTCGCTTGAGCCCAGGAGTTGGAGGTTGCTGTGAGCTGTAATGCCACGGCACTCTACCCAGGGGGACAGCTTGAGGCTCTGTCTCTAAAAAAAAAAAAAAAAAAAAAAAAAACCAGCTCTGTCTGACCCTACTTTTAACATCTTAACCAGGTGTTGCAAAGTGCAACTCTCAGCTTGCAGATGAGGTCTGTTTTTTGTCTCACCGTGGTTCTACAAGCTCAAATTTCTAACATCTCTAAAAAACTGAACCATTTTTCAGCTCTGAGATGCATCCTGGCTAATGCACAGTGGTGGTGGGGGAATGAGAGGCAGCCACGCCCCTCCTAGGGTCATACCCCCTATAGTCTACCACTGCTCCTACTGTCCCTCATCACCCTGTAGCTAGCCCTGCGAGACACTGTGTTTTCCGGGCAGGAGGCAGGGTAAAGGGGTCACAGTAGCACCTGCTCTCCAGCAGGCTCCCTCTGTGAGGGAGAGCAGGGAAAAGCTAGAAGCCCTCTGGTTCTACCTCAAGACTATCTTCAGTGGGTTCTGCTGCAGCCAGCTGCAGGCAGGGGTTGGGGGCAGCCAGGGGAGGGTTACCTGCTTCATGATGAGGCGGGATAGGATGTTCATGACGAAGCCCCCCAGGCGGGGGTACATGGTCAGGGACTGGATGACGGTCCTCATGAGCAGCATGGGCAGGGGATTCTGCTCCATCAGCTGCTGCATCACCACGGCCAGCACCTCTGATGTGTACACGTTCCGCTCCGCAAAGCATAGGTTGGTGGCTGTGAGGAGGCGGAGAGTGGGCCTGTCCTCTTTGCCCAGCTGCCCCCAGGAGGTGGGAGCCCCACACACTTCAGAAGCCTAAGCCCTGAAGTCTGTCCATGTGAGAGGAAGAGCCAGCCCTGACTTCCTGAAGCTCCCAGGGAGACAAGAAGCCTCCCTAACCTAGCAGAAGATCCCATGCCCATGGTACACTGTGGCTCAACCCTTGGAAAGCCTTCAAACTTGGTCCAAGGGAGGGCCCATGTTCAACTTCTGGAAGCCCTACACTAGCCAGAATGGGAAGATCTTGTTCCCTTTTCTTTGAGGACAATCTTGGGGAAGGCTAAGGGAGGAAAGACATATTGCCAACCCTTGGAGACCCATTCTGGCTTGACAGCGGTGGCAGGACACCCCCATCCCTGTGAGAGAGGGACAGCAGCTACTGAGTTCCATCAGCCCTCCCAGAGAGAGGACAAGAGAGGCCCATAGGCCAGCTCCACCAGAAACCTGGCCACCCCAAGCCTGACCAGGACACAGGGCTTGTGCTGGTGCTGAGGTGATAGGGGTACCAGGCCTAGGACTGTATGCGGGACACAGGGACACAGTCAGTAGAGTAATAGGAAAGGGAGGGACAAGAGATGGGGTCAGTGCATACAATGATTCCCCCAGCTCAACACCCAGTACAAGGTGAACCCAGAGGGCTGGTACAACACAAGTACCTACAAGTAGCCCTTGGGGCCTGTTCTCTGAGTGAGTGGTAGTGCCCCAATTTATTGTGCTAAAGGGGAGACCCCAGGAGCTGCTTTGAAGCTCTTCTTCCCCAAACACCACTTGCCATGTGAATCTGTCAACCAAGAAGTCTTTATTGAGCTAGAAGAGAAGCCCTCCCATCCTTGAGAGGCTAATGGAGAACAGGGGTGGGGGCTTAAAGGGGGAGGATGGTGATGTTACAGGTAGACAGACAGGAAGGAGGCTAAGTGGGCAGAGAGAATATAGGAGGCAAGGCCCTGCTAGAAATCAAGGAAGCACCCCCTGCTTCCAGCCCCCAAGGCCAGGTTGTCACTGGGTTCTGCCTGCCCCACTCCCCAAAGGCCTCTAGAATCAAATCCTTCCCTCTCCCCCCAGTCAGCCCTGCCCAGTCTCCTGGGCTTCCTATGCAGCCTCTAATCCATTCTCCACATGGCAGACTAAGGGGGTTTCTGGAAAGCTCTAACCCAGTGGTTCTCAACCTGGGGGTCAAATGACCCTTTCACAAGGGTCGCCTAAGACCATCGGAAAACACATTATGATTCATAACAGTAGCAAATTACAGTTATGAAGTAGCAATGAAAATAATTTTATGGGCTCAGTGCCTGTGGCTCAAGCGGCTAAGGCGCCAGCCACATACACCTAAGGTGGCGGGCTGAAATCCCCAGCCTGGGCCCGCCAAACAACAATGGTTGGCTGCAACCAAAAAATGGCCAGGCGTTGTGGCGGGCGCCTGTAGTCCCAGCTACTTGGGAGGCTGAGACAGGAGACTCGCTTGAGCCCAGGAGTTGGAGGTTGCTGTGAGCGTGATGCCATGGCACTCTACCAGGGGGATAGCTTGAGGCTCCGTCTCAAAAAAAAAAAAAAAAAGAAAAGAATTTTATGGTTGGGGGTCACCACCAGTTCCAGTGAGGAACTGTATTAAAGGGTCTCAGCATTAAGAAGATTAAAAACTGCTGCTCTAACCTGACTCCTTCCTTCCTAGAGGCTCTCAAGAGATCAAGGCCAAATTCCATACCCCTCCAAGAACTTGTGTAGGTGGGTCCCATGCATTTTCCTTAATGGTTACACCTTGACCTCTTCTCCTGACCAGACTTCTGCCCTCGACCCTAAGACTCAGCCAGGCTCAGCTCTGCAGTTCCAGAACCAGGCTAGCTAGTGTACCCCTCAGCCTCCACAAATGTTTTTCCTTTCTCTTCTGTCTCCCGAAATGCTACCTCACTCCTAACTCACCCTGCCCAATGACCCATGTCCAGGCTGCCCTGCCCTAGCCCTA